CGCTGGTGCCTGCTCCGGTGCAGATGGATACAGGGTGGGTTTGGGGTTAGGGGTTTGGGGTTGTTCTGGGTTTTTTCCTCTTATTTCCCTTTCTGAAGTGGTCATTACTATGGTACGCAGCAGCAGTAGCGTTGTGCCGAGGTATCGGTAGACTCCCCATAACTGCAGCGAGGGCATTTTCAGCAATGTTTAATATTGTAATTCTGAGACTAAAGCAAAACCATAGAAAGAGAAACCCTCAAGCTCAATCCTGGGCGTTTATGCTGGTTTATCCTACTTATCTTTGCTTTTTACACCACTGAACAGATTTGAGAGAGCTTGCTGGTATGAATCCGGCTCCCAGAAGAATTTCCTTGGTTGTATTGTTGCTTGCTTGAGTTTCCCCTGTCTGTCTTTCTGGATTTTACCGTCCACATTGCCACAGTGTTCTGGAGTGGGTTATACCGAGGAGGGGTGGTCTTAGGACAGTGAAACTTCTCAGGAATTATATATCCAGCTTTTGTTATTGCAACAAATCCATCTGCGGTTGGTACAATTCTGTTAGCAGCTGTGTGTACGCACCACACAGCCAGCGAGGCACCTGCGGAAACCAAGCTCAGAATAAAGCATTTACTGTGTAGTAGGACTGGACTTAAAATATGCCGCTTCCCTCAAATGGTCCCTTGTCACCAGACAATTTGAACTCAGTAGAACTGGGTCATGTGAAGAGCAAGGAGGAGAGGGGAGAAAATAAGCCATGCTGTGCTGCTTGTTTCTCCTTAGAGCATTATGGATGATTTGCATAACAGGAACTTGCAGAAACCTTTCTTGCTTTGCCCTTAAACTTGCTGCTGATATTTGAACCCAGAATATTTTTCTCTGCTATGTGCTGGAATACTCCAACTGTAGTCTTGGAATTGCAGCTTCCAGCCACAATGCTAACACGCTGCCTCTGGAGTTGGTATTCTAGCCTCTTCTGATACTTGCACAAACTGTTGCTGTGCGGCATGCTTCCCTTCCTACAACGTGAAGGGTGCTCCAAGCCTGTTTAATAGAGGAAGGAGTACAGACTTGCTCGTGGTCACTAGCATTTCACAGTGACTCCCCACTTGCAGCATCCCGGACTGTAATGGCCTGATCCGGAGCCCCAGTGTACGAGTATTTATCATCTTTTGAGAAGCAAGCACAGCAAATGCCTTTCAGGAATGGATGGTTAGGGTTAGATTGTTATGCTGGTAAATACAGGTTGAAGTGAAGATGTCTTGGAGTATTTGGTGGTTATTCAATGCTTAAGAATAGAGGTAATAAATAAAGACTTTCACAAGAGTGATCCTGGAAGGAGGATGGGAGGTATCACAGAGCCCCTAGCTTGTGAAGCACTCTATAGCTGTGCAGGAAAGAGCCTAGCGCGTCTGTACAAGAGCCTGTTATTCCCCCTATGGAAAGGAGTAGCTCAGATGTGGCCGTGGTGTCTTGTCAGGTGAAAGAGTAATGGCATTGATCCAGCCTCCACCAGCATTTCCTCCCCCGCACTGGATTCTCCTCGGCTGGCCCAATTTACCCCTTCTGTTGCTGTTGTTAACTTGTGAAGTCTCATTCTCTTCACCAATTTGTGTCACCTAGCGTACACCAGCTAAATGAGCAGTAATAAGCTGTAGATAAATAACTCCTATGACTTACGTTTAGTGTCAGAGTGGTGTTAACAGCACTCACTCAGACAGCATCGACACCTCGATAGCGTATCTAGGATGTAAGGATGCTTTAAAGTCAGACCGAGATGCTGAGAACAGCTGCCTGTCAGCCTGAACAGCTACGTTCAGGGTTTGGGTATTCTGGAGAGCTGGGAATCCTGTCAGTTGGATCTTCCCTGACAGCTCAGGGCAGTAATCAACTATTGACAGTCTTACCACTGTAGTACCTGCTGATAGAACTCCAAGTCCCAGAGGCACTGCGGGGCATCTTCAGATCCACTGAGTACCCGCTGCTCTCCGTGACTGCTGTCCAAGCAGGAGAGCTGCCTTCTGTGACCTTCCAAAGGAAACACTCGGGCCCCAGGGCAGTCGTAAAGGAGTAAGTCCCCACTAGTCATGCCACAGAGCACTCTAATCTGCAAGGACAGCCGCTCTGGAAATCAGAGAGCCGGGGATCTGAGTTTTAAAGGTGTAGGCGGACCTGTCGATCGCTGGGCATGGATCTGCAGGGATAATATCCAGCACAGGGACTAAATCACCCATGCTGTGGCAAGCTGCTTTTCCTGCTTGTTGATTGCCATGTCGTTGACTGGTTTCTGTGACTCTGGAGGTGGGATGCATGCTACGTCCTGCCTGGAGTTCTGTGGAAAGACGAGGACTGTTCCAGATACAAGCCCTGTGAAAAGGAGCTGGTTTTGCTCAGCTATTTCTAGGCATCTCACTCGGGCAGAGGTGCCCAGTGTGTCACACACTTCACCTGTGAAAGAAGGAAATCAGCAGGACTGTTCTTACTCCAACTGCACGTGAATGTCTTCCCTCAGATGGGGCTCATGATTGGCTGATTTATTTGTGAAATAAGCTCTCCAAGCCTGAAACAAAACATAAAGTCAAAGGATAACATCCTAATTACTAGAAGGCAAAACATTGCCTTCTTACTCTAAAACAAATGTTTGAAGCACCTGGAGCCATTCAGCCCGCTTGCTTCCTTTGCTCTGAAAGATGCCTAATTAGATCCTGCACCTTTTGGACTGTACCGGCTGTTTACCTCTTTCTTTGGCAAGAGATGGTGCTCCAGATGTTGTGTGTTCCATCTGGCTCCTGCTCACGCCCAGGAAGGATGTGCAGCATCTCAAAAACTTCCATATTGCAGACAAGCATTGAGCCATCCTGGGAACCTGCCACCAGCAGCCGGTAATCAGAACTGAGTGCCATCACTGTGACACCTGCCACGAGACAGAAAGAGGAAGGGCTGTTCTTGGTACCGCAGACAGGAAAGAGTCATTTTGAGGTTGCTAATATGCTGTGTTTCCCCAACTGGAATGCCCCTGTACTGTCTGAACCCCGTAGTCTGTGCCAAGAGCACGATTAGGTTCCCTCAGACGTTATCTAGGTCAGTGTGTGCTTTTGTTGTCCTGACGACAAAATGACCCACTTTATCCTCATTTGTTGAGGCAGTTGCGAATGGGACTGGTGCATGACTGAGCACAAAGGCCAATGGACCTTCATCCTGCCTTTGTGCAAGCTCACAGGCAAAACTATTTCTACAGAAATAGATGTTCTCTCCTTCTTGCTCTGTTTGTTTATTATGTTTCTTGGATCTCATTCATAACAGATGGATGATTAGATCTATTCTTGGGCTGTATCTGTCCCCAGGACTAATCCTACCTTTGAGGAATCCGGCGAGCGTTGCGTGTAGGGGCCTGCCAGGCGGCTGGAGAAATCCGCACAGGGGGACGAGGACAGGACAGGGACAGACGCTGCACCAGCTTAGACACTGCCAGGACAGCTTCCCGATGACCTCTGGGTGGGAAGGCATGAAAAAAAGAAGCCTGGCCAACACTTCTGTGTATATTATACTCGCTTCTAAGAGGAGAGAGACAAAAAAGCGTTTTAGAACATGGCTGTGTTGGGCCTGAGAGAGCTACAATAGTTGTATTTTATGTGATGTACTATATGTAATGAACTGAGCTGGCCTTATCTGGCCAGGCACTTGAATAATATAAGGACGGCTACAGTGTAAAACATGGGCAAATGTAACGGCGTGGCAGGATTTTTCCCCTGAGGGAGGAGTGGGTATTCTGAGGAGAAGACAGAGCAGCACTAGCAGCACTGTGTACTCTGTCCTCTAGTTAGCTTTAAAGCTTGCAAGGGAATCCAGATAGCTAAGAGGTGCTTCTACTAGACGTGGGGCAACAGGCGCTTTGGTTGTGGTAAACTGCTCTAATCAAATAGAGAAAATGTCTGTTGGCAAAAAAGAAACCTCAGCTTCCCATACAGAGGCCCTACCAGGACAAGGCATTTATGAGTCTTTTGATGGATCCCGGGACAGAGAATTTTGTCACCGGTTGTAATTCCTCAGAAAAGTACTTCTACTTGGAAAGGAAAATTCCAATTCTTTCTTCTGGTCAACATTTGCGTCACACTCTGTCACTCTGACATAGCTGTTACCTTCAGGGCTGTGCGTGCTGCTGACTGCAGGCTTCGAAAGGAGACGTGTGTCCTGCGCAAGGTGTAGTTCTGGACAGCTGATGCATTCAGCACACATGGCAAAGTCATCAACAACACTCTCCACTCCAGAGGCCATTATTTTACAGCTGATCCAGTTCATATTCCCTGCAGAAAGAAATACTATTAGAGCAGAGAACATCATCCCTGAGAATGCACAGTTATCTTGAAAAGACTGAGATAAAAAAATGCTTTTTTGGGGGAGGAGGGGTTAGAAGTATTAACAGTATTAACAGCCACTAGCAGTGGAACTAGGATGCGTTTCCTAGCGTGACTTTTCCAGTCTCTCATACAGACGGTGCATGGTGTCCTGGGTTGTGCTGGCACTCGCTCGTTCTGCAGGTGCAGTGTAAGGTGCCCATTTTCTGGCCTCATGGAAGGCCAGCTTGAAGAGCAGGGCTTGCCCACCTCTAGGCAAGCCCTGACAGAAATAGGCCCGTTGGGCTGGGCTTAGCCGTCGTCTGCCTGATGCTAAGAGCATCTCTAGCATCTCCTCACCTTCCTGACAGGTTAAGGGTCCTACTTCAAAGTCTGCTTCAGCTTCAGGCACAGTGTGTCGGAGAGCTTTCAGAGTATCAGGCTCTGCTGTGGAAATGGAAACGATGATGTGGACATTTGGAGGGCAGTCTGTAGGGTGCCA